AAGTTCATCTGATTTATCTTTTTTAAATAATGTGTTTTTAGCTATTATTTTTAAAATTCTATTTTGAAATTGCTGAAATCTCTTGCTCCTGTTTTCTGATATGTGGGGCAGGGATGAATGCCATTAGAAGCGAGTAATTTTAAAATGAGGTTTAGGTTCAGGTAAATGAGGTTTCATATAATTTTTTATAAGTTTAAAGTGCAATGAGCAGTAAATTTCAGATATCTGTTGAATTTGATTCCTTGATAGACTAAATTGCTTGTTATTGTGTTGTATGATAAACCAACTCAAAATGTTTAAAGTAATTTGTTCTTATTTTTTTTAAACGAAAAGATTAAACAATCGATTTTGTCAAATTTACTTGTATTGTATATTTAATAACTAAAATTCATTTAGTATAATATTTCGCTTGTTTCAATGCTTTTGTAGCATTCATAGTGTTACTGTACATAGTAGTATTGTCTGCATATGCCATTACATATGCCTTAGTATAATTTTTCATTATATTTCAGTAGCATAAATGTTGAATAAAGTAGAATAAAGAACCACACCTTGAGGTACTCCACATGTCCAATGTATCGTCTCCGAGCAATACTACCAATTACATAAATACTTCGGCCACTGAGAAATGATTGAAAAATAGAAAACAACTGTTCTGGACATTGCAAAAATTACAACTTTTTTTATAGAAATAATCTTTGTTCTGGGAAAAAGTTCCCTAAGAATAACAATAATGAATAAATAAAAAAATACATATTTGGCCAAAAACTAACGTAAAAAAATTCTAACGTTATATATACTTATTTAAACAATAATATGAAAAAAAAATCTTTGCAAGAATACTTATAGTTGTAATGTTAAATATATATATATATATATATTTTTTTTTTTTCCCCGGTTGCCGATATAGACCATGAAAATCTTTGACCACAAGTGAAGTGTGCATACACCAGGCAAAAGTATATTATATGCATTACATTGTTATTTAGTATATAACTATAAATATAACTTATTACAATATGTCTTGGCTAAAGATATTTAAAAAGAATGGTACTTAATATATATTACAAAGATAATATTAAATATAAAATAGATATTTAAATAAAATAAATGACAATAAACAATTAAATAAAGTAAATAACAATATCAGATGAATGAATAGTACCAACATATATTAAAAAACAGAAAATATAATAAATGAATAAAAAAAATATAATAAATAATCTACAAAATAAGGAATAAAATACTTAAGTCTAAAACATTATTATTTTTTTTAATTGCTAACCTTTAAAAGTATATTAAATATATATATTATAAGCTTATAAGTGTTCACGGTTACGTTATCTTCGATGATGTCTCAACAATTAATACTGATATATGATATGTGAAAGAATTATTTGTGATGCACTTAAGTCCAAATTAAGAAGTGATAAAACTTTTCTATTGTTTATTTATTTATTTTTGCTATGTTTATAGTAACAAAAAATCAAATAAATATCTTAAAAAATATAAAATAAAAATAATAATCGAACAGCTCTTTCTTGGGGATTACGCTATTTATTTCTGTGTTATCTTTTTTTATTTATTTCGAAATATAATAATTTGTCACGTGGACAATAATTATAGTGAGATGTGAACACATTCATACCATGTTATCATTATTATTTTTTTATCTTACGTAATTAATTATGACAAAAAGATAGTTCAAACATTATCTCTTCATATTGATATATGTCCATAATCCATTCCAGAGACCTATACACACTTAAGCAGAGACAATAGTACCCTAGAACGGACTCTGGAACCAATTCGAGTCCCCTCCCACATCATTTCCAATGTGTGTGTCGTTTTTAGGACACATAATATAATAGTTTATATTTTATAGAGATAACTTGGAAGGAAATTTTTGTTATGGAGTTAGTAAAAGGAAAAAGGATGAAAAAATTGTCGTATTACGATTTCTGACTCATTCAGACTCATACGCAACTCATTCAGACCGGGCGTAGGATTGACGGCCCTACCTCGTACTTGAAATCGAGAATCGGGATGTGGTCTAGGAGACCACACTTGTGGTCAAAGATTTTCATGGTCTATAGCGGCAACCGGGAAAAAAAAAAAAAAAAATATATATATATATATATATATATATATATATATATTTAACATTACAACTATAAGTATTCTTGCGAAGATTGGTTTTTCATATTATTGTTTAAATAAATATATATAACGTTAGAATTTTTTTAAGTTAGTTTTTGGCCAAATATGTATTTTTTTATTTATTCATTATTGTTATTCTTAGGGAACTTTTTCTCAGAACAAAGCGCAGGAGCATAAAGGCCATCATTGGACTCCCTGGGAATACTTCCACAGCGATGTTGTATGCCCCCAGGAGATACCGAGGATTGGGATTAATCCGCTGCTAATGGGAGGCTCCTCTTCAACATTGGTCCATTGCTCAGCGACTGTCCAATGTACCAGATGCCCTTTTTCACTCTACCTTCGATTATTCGGCTGAAATTGCTGAATGCGCCGAGAGATTGGGGGTTGATCAGGGTCATCGAAATGTGAAAGCTCTACGGCAGTCGCTACGAGAAAATGCATTTGAGGAATGGCCCAACTGCAAGTAGCAGGGTATTGGTGTTCGCCATTTTAAAGAGACCCCGAAAGCGAATAGATACATCTACGAAAAGCAAGTACTTTCTGGGTCTGAATGGTCGAATGTCCTAAAACTAAACATTAATTATGCACCCCTGCGTGGAGTCCCAGGAGTCAGCGGACAGGTCAGAGAAGGTGGGGGTACGGTAGAGTCTGAAACACCAGCCCATGTGCTGGGAAAATGCCCCAACAACTCCCTCCTCATAACACGTCGTCACCACCTGGTCAAGTTCGAGTTGATGAGGCTCCTTAGGGAAAAAAAATTCACCTGCTTTGACGAGGTATATTGCATCGATAGTGAAGGCTCTACGAGATACGCTGATATCGTCGCATTTCCCAAGACAGGAAGGACAGCGCTGATCTTGGATCCAACTGTCCGCTTTGAGAGCAATGACCTCGATCAGGCGGGTGAAGTGGAAAGGGAAAAGAAGAACACGTACGATAAATGTATCCCTTTCCTAAAAAAGAAATTCCGTGAGACCTTCGGAGAGAGAGAGTTCACTGAAAATATAGTCCTCGACTCCCTGGGAATCATTCACCACCACGTACATGGCTAGCCCGAGAGTTTTAATTTATGTATTTGTTTATTTATTTATTTAGTGAATAATTGAAAACAATAGAGATAAAGAGAGAGAAGTGAGAGAAAGAAAAACTTAATGTTAAATAAAAAAAAAAATAAAATAAAATATATATATATATATTATATTTCATATTATTGTTTAAATAAGTATATATAACGTTAGAATTTTTTTAAGTTAGTTTTTGGCCAAATATGTATTTTTTTATTTATTCATTATTGTTATTCTTAGGGAACTTTTTCCTAGAACAAAGATTAATGTTTGCAATGTCCAGAACAGTTGTTTTCTATTTTTCAATCATTTCTCAGTGGCCGAAGTATTTCTTTAATTGGTAGTATTGCTCGGAGAGGATACATTCGACATGTGGAGTACCTCAAGGTGTGGTTCTTTATTCTACTTTATTCAACATTTATGCTACTGAAATATAATGAAAAATTATACTAAGGCATATGTAATGGCATTTGCAGACAATACTGCTATGTACAGTAACACTATGAATGCTACAAAAACATTGAAACAAGCGAAATATTATACAAAATGAATTTTAGTTATTAAATATACAATACAAGTAAATTTGAAAAAATCGATTTTTTAATCTTTTCGTTTAAAAAAAATAAGAACAAATTACTTTAAACATTTTGAGTTGGTTTTAGAAACCTTGGAAGAAAGTTAAAATTAAAAATGATACTTTTTTTTTATGTCGAAAATAACTCTAATTTATTACAACCGGGGTTTCAAGCTCAGGCGCAGAAATGATTCTTTGATTACATGTTAAAATTTCAAAAATATAAAATTCAGTAAATCACTCAAACACTTATATTAGAGACGTTTCACTTAAAAACATAAAAATCACTTTCTGTATGCAAAAAAAATTGATCGCTTATTAATCATTATTATAACAAAATAACAAGCAATTTAGTCTATCAAGGAATCAAATTCAACAGACATCTGAAATTTACTGCTCATTGCACTTTAAACTTATTAAAAATTATATGAAACCTCATTTACCTGAACCTAAACCTCATTTTAAAATTACTCGCTTCTAATGGCATTCATCCCTGCCCCACATATCAGAAAACAGGAGCAAGAGATTTCAGCAATTTCAAAATAGAATTTTAAAAATAATAGCTAAAAACACATTATTTAAAAAAGATAAATCAGATGAACTTCGTGGTTTATTAAATTTACCCTATGTTAATGACTCTATCAGCAAAAGGATAATAAAATTTTACGATTCTTTAAAATATTCAACTATCAATGAATACTTCCGGCTCTTCGGCAATGAAAATACAAATGTAAGGTTGATTTTAAATTAATTCAGAAAATTATCAAGATTGAGTTGAGCCTCAACATACTGATTATGTTTTGCCTACTATGTTTTAATATTTACATATTATGTGAATTTACATCTGTCAAACTATGTTTGTAAACTATGATTGTAACTCGATGTCAGTAGATGTAAACTATTGTAGCTTGTTGCATTGCGAGTTAATTTGTCGCTCCCAGTGAACGACAGGCCTTAATTATCGCACCCCAAGCTCGCTTGACAGATGTGACATGGGTTTGTAAGCCGTATTCACTTATGCTTAGTTTATTAAATACAGTAAGGTGTATTGAGATTTAGAATAATTACTAAGAAATAACAATATTGATTTTATTTTATATCATAATGTAATTAATAAATCATGCTAGCTTAAAGAAGATGAAACTGGGAAAAGCCTACACTATGGATTCAGTAAAAGGAATATAAAATTATATCATCATTTATGTTATCAATTTTCTTCATATATTTCATTTTCCATTCAGAATTCGTGATTGACACAATTTAGTTCTATTTAGAAGAATTCTTGTGCATTGATTAAAGTACAAAATTTTAATATAAAGTCAGATAAATTATCAAGATATTTTGGACTGCATGATTAAGAAGAAAAATTTAGAATCAGTTAGTTTTATGCAGAACAATCTGGATCAGCGACTCCGGCAGCTTCGCAGAGTGTCTTTCTGAAGTCCTTAAATGCAGATATGGCCAATTCATCATCTCGTTTCTAAAGCAAAAGAAAACAATAATTAGAAATATTTACTTATTTCTTATGGAAAAGATCATAGATTGAAGATGCAGGGACCAATTAATGTTCGCTGAGATTTTCGTAACAAAGACATTTGAACAGACAGCTCATTTAGAAAACTTGGAAGAAAGTTAAAATTAAAAATGATACTTTTTTTTTTATGTCGAAAATAACTCTAATTTATTACAACAGGGGTTTCAAGCTCAGGCGCAGAAATGATTCTTTGATTACATGTTAAAATTTCAAAAATATAAAATTCAGTAAATCACTCAAACACTTATATTAGAGACGTTTCACTTAAAAAATTAAAAATCACTTTCTGTATACAAAAAATATCACTATCTATATAATAAAATAAATCGCTAATTTCTTATTTTTTATGGACTAAATTTTCTTTTCAACTTTTATTGCATACTAAATTAGACAGATATATAATGTTAGAAATAACGTTTATGGTTTGTATTTTTTAATATCCTGGAGTAAAAAACTGACCAGAAAAGCGAAAAACAGACTATCTAATAAAATTGAAGTTATGGATATTTTGCAGCGTAGTTGCAACACAAAAAATTTAGTGCGGTGCGGGTGCACCTTATTGGCACTAACCAGTTTGGTTTAAAGTTAAGCCTTCGGATAAAAGTATATTTTTAATTTTAAAATACATAGTACATGGTCAATTTTATAAATAACCATTTGAAAGATGATCGAGTCAAATTTTCGATCTCTACCGAGGTTTTCTACCGAACTCTCTGGTTTTCCGAAATCCCTACTTTTCGAAAGGCAATGAAATTTCTTAGAAAAAGTTATATGCTATTGAATTATTTACACTGATTTGAAATGTATCAATCTGTTATTTTCTGTGTAACTACGCATGGTTTCTTTTCCCATTCACTTTTCTTTAGTTTTCAAAATAATTCGTATTACAAGTATCTACATGAACATTTCCCATGTTAATTTGAAACAAGATTAAATTGTTTTTAAAGAAAAATTGAAATAACAATAAACCCTTAATTTTGCCAATGTTTAGGAATACAGAGCTACCAAAGCGATCAATTTGCTAAACTAATATTTATACTTACATTGTTGAAGGAAACATATGGAATGAAACCACCTTTTGGAAAAAACGAGGTGGTTTTCTTTCCATTGTTTTGGAATAATTCCCATGCTTCGTCTGAATTGTAGCAGCTCATTATTTTTGAGTAGACTCCTTCTGGGAGTTTATCTTGACACTGAAAATTAAAAATAAAATTTATTGCTTGCTCCTAACAACTAGCTATGTTCACCCTACAACAAGGCTCTTGTGCACAAAAAAAAAAAACAAAAAAAACAGCAGTGTCCCTCTAAACTATTAAACTGGAGAGATATTTTCCAGCGGGACAAGTTAATTATTTATTAAGAAAATTCTTACCTTGACAGTCCTGGTAAAGTAAGAAGCTTTGTCAATTGTGTCTGTTTAATAGACTGTCTTAATAATATTAATATGGTGTTTAAAAAAAGGACCGCTTTTAACCAAATATTTGTATTATTATTGATATAATAATGTATATACAAAAAAACAAGTTTCACTCATGTCGTTTCTACGCGGTCGTTTATATTTGGGATTTACTAGTTTCTAAAGAAGAATAAAGGTGCGATTACATATTACACAAACTATGAGAAATACAAATGTCTAAATAGTTGTTTCCCTATTAGTCCATGGTACAGAACTCTTTTTATCAAACCGCTTGAAAATTCATAAATAATGTCATTTCACCGTAACCTACAAATACTTTATTTACGAAAATTCTCGAAATTGGTGCGTTTTCAATCTGAAGGAGAGCAAACTTTCATTTGCTTTCCACCTGAATCGTAAGATAATTTGAGCACAAATTGGAGAAAAAAAGGTGACCTTCAAAAATATTGAACCGTTTGGCGTGGCCTACACCCTAAAATTATAAAAATGGCGAGATTATGTAGAACAAACGGCCCAATATTTTTGCAGCCACCTTTTTTTACCGATTTAGTGATCAAATCGCAGATTTTTAGGATCCAAGTTGAAAGCGAGTGGGTATTTTCGAGTTTTTAGTTACTAATTAAATAGACAAAGTCTGCCCCACTCCAGATTGAAAAATTTCAAGAGTTTCCGGAAATAAAATAGTTGTAGGTTACGATGAAATGAAACTATTTACGAAGTTTTAGTCGGACGTCAATAATTCCATAGCAAGGGTTCTGTACTACAGACTTATGCTAATAATTTTGTTTCTTGTTTTTGTTGTTTTCCTTCTGCTCTTCGTAACAAGAGAAATAAAAACAAAGTTGGACTTAGCGCTAATGTCAGTATTGGAGAAGTTCGATAATTATATTTCACATAGTTTGTGAAATGTCTAAACGCACCATTGCATTTTCCCACACATGAAGAAAGTGATAATATATTACTATTTAAAAATGCTTTTTTTTTTTTTTTTTTTGACATTTGTCTTTAATTCGCATTATTTTCTCCAACTTACCTCGTCAATGGGGTATTGCGAAGACGCAAATGTGAGATAATTCGATTCCAGTTGGTCCAAGCATGAGATATATTCTATTGTTGCTACTTGATCTGGGATGTACTTGATGGCGCAGGCGTGCAACCTGTTGCCCTCGCATTCGGACTCGCCATGCTGACATGCATAATCATGGCTTGTTGCATTTTTCTGAAATATCAAACATTTATCTGAAGACACTATTATCAAAAAGTTTTAAAATACCACTCTTGTTGAAGACCGGATTCTCATGAAACAGCTATATTATATCTTTAAGTGAGGGTTTATCAGGATGTCGTTCCAAACCGCATTCAAAACAAAATCAGACCACACAATAAAATAATAAATTCTTCTGTTCATTATTCCTAGATTTGGTGTCTTGAGATTTTATTTGCTATATAATCTAGGCCATTATTCGCCAACATTTTATTTATTAATAAAAGTTAATAAGAAGTGTGGTGTATCATTTTGATTGCGAGGTAAAATTATTTAGGTGTCTAGTAAAATTATTATTTTATCTTAAATAATCACAATTGAATATTTTAATTTTATTGAGTTCTTGTCTTTTGAGTTTAAGACAAGAACTCAACCGACGATACGGCCAGCTATACAGACTACTAAACAGAAAATCCAAACTTTCTATTGAAAACAAATTACTTATCTACAAGACAATACTGAAACCTATATGGACATACGGACTTGAACTGTGGGGGACAGCAAAAGCTTCTAACATCAAACGTATTCAATCCTTTCAATCTAAAGTCCTTCGAACAATAGTTGATGCTCCGTTCTATGTAAATAACAAAATCCTACACCATGACCTTAATATCCCATTTGTCCTAGACCTTATTCCAGAAAAATTCTCCAAATTTCACCAAAACCTTACCTATCATCCAAATCCCCTTGCACAATCTCTATCCAGCACCACCCATCCTTACAATCCTCCTCGAAGGTTGAAGCGGCAGTGGCCCAGAGACCTTTTGTAAATAAGCATCTATTGGAGTTTTGGCAATGGCCAGATCCTCCACTCAAGCCCGAGTGTGTATGATTAGGTTAGTTCTTTTGTTTATATACATTTATTTTATTTTATTGTATTTATTTTTATTTTATTTTATTGTATTTATTATTATTAAGTTTCTGTATTATTTATTTATTTATTTATTTTTTTATTGTAAATAGAGTGTGAGTGTGCTTTCTCTGATCACTATTATAAATGTCCTTGATGTGACAGAATGTAATATTTCTAAATAAACAAATGAATGAATTTTATTGAGTTCCTACATATATTTTTTTTTTTATTTTGTTATTTTAAATTTGCCACTGCGTTGGAACGCATCAAGCAAATGTGTTGGCGTTAATTATATCTTCTTGATTCCTGATATCTTCTTAACTTTTCAACAGATCTCTAGGCCACTGCCTTTTTAGTCGTCTTTGAGGCTTACCAGGTAACAGGGAGGAAGATAGAGATAGAACGAGTGGATTTGGATGATTGAGAGTAGAAGTGTGAAATGTTGTGTATTTGTTGTGTATATAGGATTTTACTTTTGGTATGTTCATGTCTTTGTGTATGGTGTGATTTGAAATAAACCAAGGAGCATTGACAATTTTACGGAGTATTTTGGATTGTGCGGTTTGAATTTTGTTGATGTGTGTGTGTTTTGCGGAACCCCAAAGTTCTGCTCCGTATGTCCAAATAGGTCTTAGTATAGTGGTGTAGATTAGTCGCTTGTTTAGTAAGTTGAGTGGAGATCTGTAGTCTAAAAGATGTGACAGTTGTTTAAATCGTCTGGTCAGTTCTTGTTTTTTTAATTTTACATATTTACATACATATTTAAAATAAGATTATAAATAAATCTGTTGAAGAGTTGCTGGTTTTATTTATTTACTATAACCATTAAAGTATTTTTCTAATTTTTTTACGGGGTGTATAAATTTCACAGTGAGCCACTGTATGTATATATATATATGCATATGTATAAATCTCCTAATATGCGCTTTGTATTTATAAAAAATATGTAGAAAATTGCTGGTTTTTTTTTTCAAAAAATAAATATTTGAATCTCATAATAGGTAAATACTAAAGTGAAATAGTTTTTGAGTTATTGCTTCCTATTATAAAGAAAAAGAGTGACCTCCGTTGGAATCAATTGCTAGTCTATGATTTGCTGATACTACATTACTGATACTATTAAACGTGTTGACATGTTTATATATCATGAAAATCCAGTCTTCACTCGACATCGTTCATTGTAATTAATACAACTTTATAATACTTACAACCGCAACCCAACCATAGGGCACCAATGTGAGTTTAGATATTAAAGAGCGGTAATCATACTTCAAGTCCGTATAGGCTGGCAACAATTGGTTTGGAATGAAAATTCGACAGCCAGGGCATAATGATTCGTAGTATAGAGTAATTTCAACCTGAAAATAAAAAAATAACGTTTAATTAATAAACGAGTATTATATTAAAATTTTAATTCATGACAATCAAATTTCAAGTGTTTTGCTGCAACGACGAAAAAAGATGTTTCCACCTAGTACAACACTTACAAGTCATAGGATCTAAGCAACCAATCATTGTCGGCCTTATAATGGGGCAACCGGGGCAATTGCCCGCGGGGTGCCGACCTATAGGGCGCAGGTCAATCTTCAGGGCTGCTCGCCACATTTTAGAATTAAAAAAAATACATTACGTATTCAAATAATTAATTTTAGACTGTCAATAAAGCAACTGTAATAGAGAAATGTTGAATGGAATAACATTCAAATATTATATAATATAAAGCAGCTTAAGAAATAAATGAAATTTTTAAATAAATGACGTCATTGCCCGGGGAGAGGCGTCGAATGTCTAAGGACGAGACTGCCTTCAAACAACTATAAAACACTCATTTACTTGACCATAATAAGGCTTATTTGGGCTTATGGAGGTGAACTTAGGGCTCCACTAAATCATTCATTTCCTGTGGTATCCAATCCTTACAATCACAAAATCTTAAATACTTCTTACTTTGTCACATATTAGATTATCCACAAAGTCCTTAACGGCCGATATGTGGCGATTTAGCCCAATACCTATCCTTCCATAATAGATTTTAGGTCTATCCTATACCACTTGTTCTGACATAAATCTTCTTCAATTTCTGACAATCACTACTAGTCGTCTGAAAAGTAGATGGCCCGTGATCTCCTAATGTAAAGTATTTTTGGTAGTTTCTCAACAAGTCGGTAAATGTCATATTTATTCTTTTTTTTTTTAGTTAATACAGTTCTGAATTTCAATATATACGTCGGTTTATTTCAAACAAAAATCACTAACATATGAACATTTTTTGGGGAGTTCCATCCAACATATTTAATAATGCAAAACTCACATCAAGTGAATCAAACCCTTTTATAAGAAATAGTTACACCATGTGCACAATCTACTGATTTAGGTGGTGGAAAATTCATCAAATTATTCAATGATTTAATTTTATGCAATATAACTCAATGAATTTTTACAATAAGCCCAAGGTAAGTTCTATAAATGTTAGCACTATGAAAATTTCGTTTTAGAATACCTAAAGCAGAATTGGTTGATCTATGTCTATTCTTCCTCCAACCTCTGACAACGGCCACATTAAAAATGTCGCCCCATAGCTCAGTCATTGTGATGTATAGCGAGGCTGTTAGAAAATCATCATTGAATTAATGCCAATTATCATAGATTTGTTTAGCCAGAAAGTGCTGCTTATGGACAATAAGGCGCAGCCATTGAAGAAGAATCGTTTCGAAAAGTCAATTTAAGGCATTTATATGTCTCCATGTTCTCCAAACATAATTCACTGAATGAAACCAGGATACCCTTCAAGGAAGCTGATTTGCTCGATATCCATAACCCCTGTCGCGCCGAGAATCACAGGACGTTTTACCTTGGCTTTGGTAGGCAATTCCTATGAAAATAGTAAAATAATTAGAGAAATTAGTGCATGATATAGAAGTTCCTTAAACGAAACGAGATCTCTATTGAATATAGAAGCGGCTTGTGAAGAAATCAAAAAGGAATGACTAAATATTACAATTAACCTGCAGAAGAATTTGCCATTTTCTCCTTCCAGAAGAACTAGAATAACAATTGTATTACGTTAGAGCTTTGTATACTTGGGTTACCATCAAAAGGCACCTCACTCTATTCCGCCACAAGAAAAAGATCAGATTGGTGAAGACCAAGTCTTACAGACTAAAGCATGTATTGGCATCACGAATAATATCCCTACGTCACAAGTTATTAATTTATAAAAGCGTATTAAAACCGGCCAACCTTCAAGGAGCGCCGATGCTAATATATATATATATATATATCGATCTTAATGGCCCCAACAGTTACATAACAGCCTGCTGAGAAATATTCTAAGACAAAAATTCTAATTAAAACAGTCTTACTCCATTTATCCATACATCAACTCCACATCATGAAGGCTAAGTAGATAAAAGATAATATTTTAAAACATCCTTGTTCAATATGAAGTAGTTTATTAATTTAATAACTTACTGGTGTCACATTTTCGCTGGAAGGCTTAGCCACTACACAGCCCACGAGGGCAGCCAACAAGAAGAGTAAGGCCATAGTTGAGAAATCAATAACAGTGTGCGTTAGAACGCGTTATATATAACGGTGGAAGGAGGAATGACATCTTCTTTGAGTGGATGATATCAAAGAAGTGGAGAGCTTTTTAAATATTTAGCAATTTCATTTCTGATTAGCGATGTGTTATTATTGGTTTTAGCAAGTATTTGAAGCTGAGATACTTAAAAAAAAATGAGACAATTCCTATTCCGAAATATTTTAGTTTATTCTGAGACTGTTTTTTTCTTCTATAATAAAATGTATTTGTCCCTGTCAACTTATTGTTGACAATCAGCAAATGTGGCGGCGATACAGGAAATAATGACATGATAGGCATGGGGAAGGAAAGTACTCAGGAGAACCTCTTCCCTAACTTGTTCCAATTGCTCATGTTGTTTAAGGAAGATCTCTCATCCAACGCCCGTGAAACATGAAATGCGATAGCACTCTATGATATTGGTTAGCTTATCTCCAAATAGTTTAAAAACTGATGGAAATGCTTTATGTGATTCACTTGTTGACTAATATAAGATGAAAAATACAAAAATGTATGTGTTGGTGGGGGTACGAGGGAGTAAAATTAAATAAATTGATCAGGGGCTGATCAAATTGACCAAATTATACTTCTTATCCTAAGGTGTTTATTATAATTTGTTATCAATATAATAACAAATATGGATTGAAAGATAACTGATGATTCAAAATTCTCTATAATAACTATATAGATAGATAGATAGATACATTGATATTTTATTTGTTTTAAGGGGGTTTCCCAAACAAATAGAGAATAGCTTGGCTATTGTACAGTAATATGGTTTTACAAATTTACATACATATAATCTAAATATAAATAAAATTTACGATATTTAACGTTTAGAATGGGTTTCACAAAACATGAATAACAATAAAAATTAAAAACATAAAACGATTACTGCATAATAATAGTTATATGAAGCAGTTACTATGATAGAAACAATAAAAAATAAAAATATTTATAAATATAAACAAAATATTACTATTAAGATAAACTAAAAACAAACGGTTAATAGAACATGGCTATGATCAACAATTTTGTGTATGCAATTTGTATGCAATTTGCCATCATATAATAGTAAATTTTATTTAACTTATCTATACAATCGATATTAAGTACGGATTCGACGTTGCGGTTATCAGAAGATTCTGAGATGAAGTTATGAAGGAATTTTTGTCTATAGTCATTGTATGCTGGGCAGTGAAGGAGAATGTGACGTAGACTATTGTAGATAAATTGGCTGCATGATATACAAGTTTCTTGAGACCCAATCGAAAATGTTCTGTTTTTTGCATAGATTCTGATATGTTCTGGGTTTGCAACTCTTAATTGACTAACACATTTAATTTCTTTATGTGGACTTTGAATGTAAGGTACGTTTCAGGATCGGGAGCATTTTAACTGCAGAGCATTCTATATAAAGGGTAGTTAGTGGAGTTTAAAGTTCTTTGTATGTCGGCTGAGAAATAATAGTTGTGTGCTTTTTCAAGGATGTCGTCTTTGTATCGAAGAAGTCCGTTTGTGGGATGAACAAAAAGCTCTTCTGCAAAGGCATTAAGCTCGGCTATTGCTCTAAATTGAGACACCCAATTGAAGTCTATGTCAGACTTAATATATGTAAGTGTGGAATTGCGGATGAAATAGTATTTTTTACATAAATAAATATAATTCATAGACGATGTAAGCATTATTTGTTCATGTTAAAGTTAAAATAACTTTTTTTCCTCCCTCTCCCTCCCTTGTCTTTTCGACAATACCGGGTTTCGTTTTCATTATACAGCAATAAATTTAACTCTTTTCTTGTTATATTACTCTTTTCTTATTATATTTAAATCTTGGAAACCCCAGATTTAGACTGTGGAAGTCATCGTCTTACTCCCATATTGAAATGGGTTGCGTCTATCTGTTCCTTCCACCCATACACGAATGCCTCGTAGTATTATGGGGAGTTATCGGCAACAGCAAACAAAATTACTTACACTGTCTTTTATTTCTCCTTATCTTTATATTTTATATTATTTTTACTAAATCTGCTATGTTTCCATCTAAAAAAATGTGTAAAATTCTTAATAACTGCACAATTACATTTTTTATGACTAGCGTGAGCTTTGAGGTAAATTATTAAAATAGATGTCGATTATGTACTTATTCATTATTGTGTTGTACACGATTTGTTCTTTTATATGACTGTGTATGGTTATGAAAATCTTTTATAATAATAATAATAATAATTTATTATTATTAAAAAGATTAAAGACTTAGCGAACCAGAAGGTTCGATGCCGACACCACCAATCGCTTATTACACACCTCCCTCCACCGTTCGCCGTCCAAACCCAGTCCCTTCAGATCGGCTTTAATGCAATCTTCCCACCTTCGCTTCGGTCTACCCCTCGGACGCTTATCATTCGGCACAGCAAATATTAACCTTTTAGGAATTCTCTCGTTACTAAGCCCAACAACTTTACAATCCCATTTGATTCGAGGCGATGAAATTACCTCAATTATATTACCCGGATACAGTTCTCGCAATTCGGCGTTGTGTAACCGTCTCAACTCTCCGGTTAACTCATCCTTCTTCGGTACGCAATACTTTATTTTCAAAAACCTTAAGACACTGCTCATCCCTTAATGTAAGCGGCCAATATTCGCATCCATAAAGAACTGTAGGCAAGATAATTGTTTTATAGATTCTAATTTTTAAGTTCCGGGACAAGAGGCGCGAATTGAGTAGTTTTGTCACAAAAAAATAACAAGCATTTCCCGACTTCAGTCTAACCTTAATCTCTTCTTCAATTTCGTTTTTCTAGTTATCGTAGAACCTAGATACCTAAATTTATCTACATATTACCATCTATATCGATATTACCAGTAGTATCGCCCATTTTTGCAGCTAACGATATATTTTGTTTTATCCACGTTTATTTCGAGTCCTAGTTTTTTACCAGCTTTCATTAATGTTGTCGTATTTAGTTTTATAGTTTCAACGTCTTCGCTTAACAGTACCAGATCATTAGCATAGCCCAGAACGGATGTTGTCCCACCCAGATAAAACCATTTCTCGGCACGCATTACCTCCCTAATGGCATGTTCTAATGCCAAATTGAAAAGGACAGGCGAAAGGGGATCCCCCTGTTTTAAACCCGACAGAACCTCAAATTTTTCCGACAGATTATTACCGATTCTAACTTTATTGAGTGTCTCCGTCAAGCACATCCTGACTAGATTTACTAGTTTTTTTTTTAATCCCCTGCTCGATTAGAATATTATACAGTTTCTGGCGGTCAATAGAATCGTAAGCCTTTTTAAAATCTATATACAGCTGGTGAACAATACCGTTGTATTCCAACTTATTTTCTAATATTTGCCGTAAAGAAAATATTTGATCAATAGTTGAACGATTCCGTCTAAATCCGCATTGCTAGTCTCCGATAATTTCCTCGGCGTATTCCGTGATTCGACTGGTTAAGATTAAAATAAATATTTTATAACATAACGGAAGGAGTGAAATTCCTCGATAGTTATTACAATCCGTCCTCGGGCCCTTTTTGAGAATCGGAATAAGAATAGATTCTTTCCATTCTTCAGGTAATTTCTCCTTCACCCAGATCTTTTTAACCAACCGATGTATTTTCGTATCTCCAGCTTCCCCGCATGCCTTAATTAGTTCAGTAGGAATATTATCGGTTCCCGCTGCTTTATAAGATTTTAATTCTCCGATAGCTACTTCAAATTCCTCTTTACTTGGTCCTTCTATTAACGGTTCAGCACTCTGGTACTCAGAAGGAGGACGCAGATCATAATTTCCCGTATTTAAAATATTGTCAAAGTGGTCCTTAAACTTCGCATCGGTCAGAATATTGTTATTATTATTCCTATTTCCAGACGTTACGGGCCCTATACATTTACGTGATCTGTTTATACCTTTGTACATGTCTCTTACGTTATTTTCGATTCTATTAGTTTCTATTTCAATCATTTTATTTTTAAGATACTCCCTTTTTTTATTTTTGAGCAATTTTGTCGTTTCTTTCTGGAAGTATTCCAGATTGTCTTCGCTAGGATTATTTAGAGCTTTTAATTTAGCGGCTTTTCTTTTTTCGCAGATGTTTAAGCAACCTTCATCAAACCACGGTTTGTTATTCTTATTTTCCTTTTTTCCTAGACACGAGTTACTGACCGCTTTAATATTATCCCTGATCTCTACCCATAACTTGTCAATATCCTCGTGGTCCTCGTCAGGAAGCTCTAAAGCTTCAAACCTATTCTTAACATTTAGCTCGAATCGGTTTCTAATTGATGGATTTTTTAATTTTTCCAAATTAAAATTCTCAAAATCGAAACGGTTTTCGTTTCTCTTTTTTATATTAAGTTTTTGCCGAAGTTTAGCGATTACTAATTCATGATCCGATCCACATTCTGCTCCGCGATAAGACCGTACATTAATTATACTGCTTTGCCAGCTTTATTGTATCAAGACATGATCGATTTGATTTCGTGTTTGCGAATCCGGCGATGTCCAAGTATATTTATGAATATCCTTATATTTAAACGTGGTACTTTTATTATCAGGTTTTTCGAGATGGCAAAGTTTATCAGATGGATCCCATTATCATTACTATATTCGTGCAAACTTTCTTTACCAATCGTCGGAATATAAACTTCTTCCCTTCCTACCTTTGCGTTCGCGTCACCTACAATTGTTTTCATGTTGTTTCGTGGTAGTTTATCATAAACCCATTCGAGTTTATCGTAAAATTCACTTTTGACTTCATCGTCACTGTCTTCGGTCGGACAATGTATGTATATTAATGCGATTTGAAACCAACGTCCCCGAAATATAGCTACCGAAATTCTATCACTAAAGAATTGTACGTCATTCAAAGCGGATATTAATCTACTCCTAATAAGAAACACGGTACCTAAACAATGATCCCCGCTTCCTCCGTACCAAATAGTGTACTTTCCTTCCCT